GCTTTACAAACCCCAATTGTCCATGAAGAAAAGGGTGATGGAATGAGGAGTGAAATGGCTTGGGTTCTGCAGCCATGTCGATATGCAAATCATTTATGTATATGCAAATTATTCCAAGGAAATGGAGTTGGGGAACCCAACTTTTAGCATTTAATTTTAATGGGATGATCATGCTAAGAGTGATAAAGAAGGCACTAAGACTCAAAAATTCAACTCCTAAGAACAGACCCAAGAAAACATCAGCACTGATGTGTCAGGGGATGTGTTCAATAATTCTCAAGGCAGCACTATTCATAGCATTCCTAAACTAGAACCAATCCAAATGGCTGTACAAGAAACGTAAGAAAATACATTGTGTATGTCTCTCTGAGTGAACTATTATAGAGCCAGGAAAGTGAATGAACTACAGTTACATGCATTAACATGGTTGAGTCTTGTCAAGTTTAAATACTATAAAAAGTCCTAGAAACAATTTTTATTTAGTACCTTTTTAAATAAATTCAAACAAGTAAAACTAAATGATATATATCATATATGAAATTATATATCATATATAAAAGATGCTATATATATATATATATATTAAGATAGCATGATAGATGATAGTCCGGGCATGGAAGCACATGCCAGTAATCCAGTACTCTGGAGGCCAAGGAAGGAGGATACCTGAGAGTTTGAGGCCAGCCTGGGCTACACAGCCTCAACTATGTAGCGAGGACCTGTTCAACAAAAAATCAAGATTGAAAGAGCCCAGACAGGGACACTGCCAGCTCAAATGAATGCATCTGCCATTTTAGAGAAACTTAGGTTTCATTTTACTTAGGTCATGAGCAGTGCCCAGCAGACGTGTCAGCCAAGCCACAAGCCTGCTGTTTCACTGACCACGCCCTCAAAGTCCACCATAACACACTATTTAAAAAGCCTCAACTTGTAAGAGACACCTTCTCTTCTCTGCTCACACAGAGAGGTCCTCTCGGGTTTAGATAAACCTTACTGAACTGCTGGGTTCACATCCCTTCTTTTCCATTAAGGACAGTCATCTTTTGTAAAGGAGAAACAGGAAGATGAATGAGGGAAAGAACACATGGTGTTGGGAATGGCCTTGGTCTTGGGTTGGATACTGAGCTTGTTAGTGTTCATTATGCCAAGTAAAGGCCAAGCATGGTCTATGTAGACAGTATGTCATGATCCAAAGGCTATGACTAATTCAATTCTGATTATTCAGTTTCTTAAGTGAAAGAAAGAAGGATGGGCAGAGGCCAATGGAGTAGGCCTTGCTTTCTTCCAACATTTGTCTTTCCTTCCTCCTGCTTTGTCTTTAATCTCTGATTGCATAATGCTTTACTGTTTTTGGTTTGTTTGTTTGTTTGTTTTGTTTTGTACTAGGAATTGAATGCAGGACTTCACGCTTGCCAGGCAGTGCTTGTGCTACTGAGCTATATCCCCAGCAATAATCCTTCATTGGCTACTGACTGTGTAACAGGGCTATGCTGAGGGTAGGAGCACTGAGATTAATTAGACCAGTCTCATCCTATAGAGTCACTGCCTTTATTGAATTGCACCCAATCAATATTACAGACAGTGTGTCAGTTATTATTATTATTATGTTAGAAAAAGACTATCTGATTCATGAGTCTAACAATTCCCAAAGGATTTGCAAGGTGCTGTGACAGAGGTAGGGTAACAAAGTGCTATAGTCTCAAAGGGTCCCTTAACCTGGCTTGGGCCCTTTGAAAGAACGTGCTTAGTGCTTTGAGAAAGAGGAAAGCACAGGTAGTTTACAGAATCCATAAGAATGAAAAAGACAGCTTTCTCATGAAATGCTCACATCTGGAGTGGGGACAAGAAAAGAGGGCACAACAGCAGTGAACTTGGGGACACAAGACAGAAAGTCTGCAGATACATGCAGGAGGGGACCATGTCACACCTGGCATGTCAGACAGCCTTCCTAGAGATGCACACAGAGGAGAGGGAGCCTAAAGGTAGATTAGAGCCACCTAAGGAATGTCTGTGTCACGGAGAAAGGTCAGCAGTGCCAACGCCTGTGATGGGAAGAAGGAGTTGGGTGCATTGGAAGACTTCTGAGATCCCGCTGTGGTCTGATTGAAGACCAGACACAGGGAAGTGAAACTAGACAAGCGGGTAGAAGCCAAGTTCCACTAATAAGTATGAAAAGCATGCTGTGGGCCATGACATCTCTAGAGGACAGTGGCAGAGGTGGTTTTTCCCTGACAATAGAATGGTGCCTGAGCTATAGGGAAGAAGAACCAAAATTTGAGTACCTAATGAGCCATATCACTCTGGGGGCGGGGCTCAGACAGGCTGCTTCTGAGAGACAAGGTGGAGACGTGCCACCTCCTTACTCCTGCCCTGACTTGCACTTCCTTTGAGCAAGCTTTGAGCTCCAAAATTTGTCAGAATTGAGAATCTTCCCTCCACAGCTAATATTGTGGTTAGTGGTTTTATTTTTTCAATATTAGGGGTTGGACCCAGGGGCTTACACACACTATGTAAGCATAATACCACTGAGCTCAAGTCCCAGCCCTTCTTTAAAAATTTATTTTGTAGCTGGCCATAGTGGCACATGCCAGTAATGCCAGCACTCAGGAGGCTGAAGCAGGAGGATTGCTATGAGTTCAAGGCCAGCATGGGCTACAAAGTAAGTTTAAGGACAGCTTAAATTGCGTAGCAAAATCTTGTCTCTAACCAACCAAAAAAGAAAATTTTTTTTGAGACAGGGCTCTTACAAAATTGCCCAGGCTAGCCTTCAACTTACAACTTTTCTGCCTTGGTCTGCCATGTAGCTGCAAGCACTATCATACTCAGCTCATGGTCAGTACTTTTCAGGATTAAAGATTCCAAACTTTTCAAAACTTGGTGGATACGTTGAAAACCAAGCACTGAGGGAGGAGAAAGTAGGATTGACAGCTGCACGTGTATTGAGTGATGACCCTGTACCCCATAAATTTGTACAGTAAAAAATTTTAAAAGGGAACTGCATCCATGACTGAAACAGCCCCCTGCCTGGACCTTCTGGCCCAGGATCTACCATTGCCTTAGCTTGAGAATTCCAAGAATGCTACCAATACTGGTCTGGGGCTGAGAAAAAAAAGATTTACTTACCACTTACCATGCAGTATGCCATAACGCCTAACCATACTCTGAAGAAATTCTTCTTTTCCCATTTTACAAATGGGAAAACTAAGATCCAGAGAGTCTGAGTTTAAGGTTTAAATCCAGAGCCATCTGATTATGTGCATACAATACCCTGCAGTTTTTAGAACTCAACTATGACTAGTTCTGCAACTTATACTTACACTTAGTTAAGAACATCTTGTATTAGTTAAGCTTCCCTTGGCTCTCATCTCCCCTCAAATTGTCATTTTCCCCTGCCCACTCCAACACTGGCTGGGAGAAAGGTGCTCAGGAGTTTCCTAGTAGGGATCTCGTGGGAGACAGGAAGTGTGAGTATAGGTCAGCATTTCTATGCAGGCCTGTTCGAATCACATGTCCTCAACAGCTCTTCAGGGCAAGAATGGGCATCCAGAGGGGAATAGGACACATGGATTTGCCCAACAGGATTTCGGTTTTTAGGAGGAAGACTAAGGTGTAAAGAGATGATGATGAGACAGTAGAAAAGGACAATCAATACCTGGCCCATACACCATTTTTGTCGGAACACCAAGCTGTTCATGAAGAATATTTTTGTTGTTGTTTACACTTCAGCAGTAGCTCCCAAACTGATTCACACCATCCATTCATCCGCCCTGCTGCTGAGAGAGCTTTCTGAAAAGCAAATCTGACAAAATCAGTAGGCTCCCCAACTAATGAAGGCCAAACCTTTTGGATAGTCCGCAAGACCCTGAGTGATTCTCTAGCTTCATTTTGACTTCCTTGGGCTCACACCCAGTCATCCCCCAGGCTGTGTGCTGGTGAAAGGTGAGTACCCCCAGGCTACGCTGTCTCCTTGTGTCTAGGATGTAACTCACACAGCCACTCCCGCAAGGAAATACTCTCAGATTACCCTTCCCAGTCTAAGGGAGGAGCCCCACAGTTCTCTTCAAAATATTTCCCTCTGGGATTGGATTCTGTTTGTTTTCTAGGATCCTGATAAAATAAGCCATTTTCTAACCAACGTAGGCTTTTTGCGTGTGCCTGGCAGAGTGGGCTGGTGTCAGCAAATGACTATGGAGTGGACTCAGTGTCAACTCTGGGATCACAAGCAGAGCAACCAAGTCAGAAATTTTCAGTTTCCCCTTGGAAGCAGGAACCTCGCAAGCACTGTTGGTCTGTCGCTCTCGCCACGCCCTCTAGCTTATCTCTGCGCTTCTGGGAACTATGAAGCGAGACCCGCAGCTCCTGTAGCGGGGGGGGGGGGGGGGGGGGGCCTGAGACCCAGCTCCTTCAGCCTCGGGTGGGTGGGGACGACTCAGAGAAGCAGGTGCAGTATGAAATTGGATTTTAAAAGATGAGTTGGAGGCTACTCTCAAAAAATAAAGTGTGAACGTGTGTATGTCTAAGGCCAGGACATACTAAACCATTTGTTTTTCCCGGCTGCTGTTTCCCACGTTCCTTGAGTAGAGGAACCAAAGCTACCCAGTGCCTGTCTCCTCCTCTTCTGGGGCACCCCCCTCCACCCCACCCCCCGGCGTTCCAGGCATACTTGAATGAATGGGGAGGGATCAGCGCTCATGAATGAGTGCGTGGGGGAGCGTGCGGGTGAGTGAATGGCGACTGTGCCACTTCTGCTCAGGGGCGCGGGCGAGGATTCCACTTCCCTTTCCCGCCAGCTGGTGGCCACGAGAAGGCGGCGGCGCCGGCAACGGCCCTAGCTGGGACAGCCGGGGAGCGGGATGGTGGGGGAAGGGGCGTTCCCGGCGGCCGCGCCTTCCGCGGCTATTGGATTAGTGGCCTTCAGGGATGAGCTCAGCCGGATCGGCTTTCAGCTGCAGCCTCGGGCCGGCCGGGAAGGCGGGGAGCGGGCGGCGGCGGAGGAGGGGGAGGAGGAGGCGGCGGCTGCAGCATCCAGAGCTGGCCGTGGCGGCCGGCGCGCCCCGCGCACAAAGGCGCCCAGACCCTGGGGAAGGCGATGAGCATACAGCGGCCCGGACCTGCACCCCAGATGTGGGCACCTCCGTGTGCGTCCAGTGCTCTGGGGAAGACGCTAGGTACGCTGGGTTCGGCCCGTGCGCCCTGAGCGCGGGATTTGCTGCCCTCCAGGTCAAGCGCCAAGCTTCAGAGCGGCTAGAGCGCGGGCCTCGGCGCGCCCCTAGGATCGGCGCTTTCCCCACTCTGCATCTGACTCCAGGCGTCCTTTTGCAGTGCTTGAGCGCCAACTTCGCCAAGAACCCTCCCAACTCCAGGCCACCCTACTGGGTAGAGCGAGCGCTGCTGCCGGGCACCAGCGGTGAGGACGCGCCGCTGGCTCTCGGGAGGAAGCCAGCATCTGCAGGGTTGCTCGGGCGCCCCGGAGTGGGCGGCGAAGGCAGCGGACGTCTCTCCTAGGAGCCCGGGACCTGCCAGTGCTGGGGATTCCTCCCGGGCTGCGCTCGCCCTCTTTTTTATGGTGAGTGTTTTTCAGCGCCTGGTAAGGGGCGCGTGGGAGTAGGGGGCTGAGATCCGGCCGAGCGGACTTCGTGCGGGTGGGCATTCGTCACAGTCAGCGCTCCTGGCGTCCTTCTGGTCGCGAACCCGGGGATTTCTGCGGATTAGGGCAGTCTAAACTGGTTGGTTTGCGCAGCTCTGGGGCGTTTGGGTCGGCCTCTGGGACCTTGAGTTCGAAGCTCACTGCTAATCCGTGTCGTGGAGACACAGCAAGAAATTGCCTCCAGAGTCACTAGCCTGGGTTTGTGTCCAACATCCGTCAGTCACTGGCCAGGTGACCTTGGGCAAGGCGCCAAACCTCGGTTTTCTCATCCATAAGATGGGGATTCTGATTGTCCCGGTTTTGTACAGGTATTGATTGGGAAGATTTGTGTGATTGATTGGGAAGACTTGTACCTGACCCACAGGAAGCACCCAATCGTAGTTAGTTAGCTAGCATTATTAGCTGCATGAGCCTAGGCAACGCATCCAACTTTCCAGAGCTGAAGCAGGCCCCCCATGCCCCGCCCCCCTCCGTCTGTGAAATGGGGACAGTGATTCCTGGGGAGATCTTTACGTCCCAGGGCTCGAAGCAGAAGTCGAGCGCCTGACACGCAGTAGGCACTGAGAAATCGGCTGCTGCTGTCCCGTTTATCCCTGACGCTGGGGCGTGAGGCAGGTCACCTGGCCCAACAGCTTCTCGCTTCTCAGAACCACTTCCAGGCCTTGCTTGAAGACAAACTCGGAGATGCTCAGAAAGAGAGGAGGTTAGTGTTCAGGAAGTCCCGGGCTAGAGGCTCTCTGAACCAGGGAGGAGGTCAGACCCTTCCATTGAGCAAAAACCATGTAGCCCTGGACGCTCCTCAGGCTCCAAGCCAGCAGGGAACGCCGAGCCCGGGACCTCTGACTGGCTGGAGAAGCTGGAGGAGTGGCTGCTCCTGGCGCCCCACAGCCGAGGCTCGGGCTGCTGCCGACAGAAAGGAGAAATGGGCACTGTACCTTGGCTCTAAGAGGGCTGACCGGGGTTCGATTTCCACCTCCACTATTAGCCTGTGGTGTAACCCTGAGCAAGTTTTCTGCCCGAGTTCTCTGACCTCTCTTGCTCATTGGTGCCCACCCGTCTTCTAGTGGATTTTTGGGGGAGCGAAGATAGCAGTCCTCTCCTCTTAGAAATCTCAGCCCCTTATCTTCCCACTCATCTTCTGTCCCCCGCAGTTTGTGGAGTTTAAATCTGAAAGAAGAGAAATGGCTCAGAGAAAGCTATTAAAAGGAGATTGCAGAATCTGCCCACACCTGCCCTGTGGGAAGAGGCGTCCACAGGCACTAGACTTAACCTCTCTCTGGTCTGTTTTCCTCTCCAATTAAATCCTGAGGCATTTGTCACTCAGGCTGATGGGGGAATTCCCCAAATCCTGCTGAAACTTTTTTTTTTAGGTTGCAGATAAATCTAGTTTGGAGAAAAACCAACTGTCAATAGAATAGATTCCTTTATACAGGGCTCTATGTGTGTGTGCATGGCTGGGTGCACACGATTGTGGTTCTGGGGATTGAACCCAGAGCCTTCCAACTGAGTTACATCTTCAACCTTTTTTTTATTTTGAGACAGGGTCTTGCTAAGTCACTAAGTTGTCTGAGCTGAGCTTAAATTTGCCATCTTCCTGCCTCAACCTCCCAGAGTGCTGGGATTACACAAGAGTAACATCACAGCCAGCACTGATCCCATTTTTTAAGTTTCCTTACTAAATTGCAATAAAAAGAACTGATGCTTTCTTTGGCAAATGGCAAAGTCCAACTTAACAGCCGTTCAACTCAAATATTGCTCCAATTTGTATCTCTCTTACCTTAAAGAGTTCCATGTACAAAATAAAATCTGTAAGGAAAAGGAATCGCCATGAATAGTCAAAGGACATGTGCCACTCCTATAAAAAGGCCCTCATCTCTTTATATGTAAAAGATTCTTCAAGTCAATCACTAAAAGACCAAACAGACAAAAATTAAACAATTTAAACACAAACATTGAAATAGAAGCCAGATAAGGCATGCCTGGAATCCCAGCATCCTGGGAGGCTGAGGTAGGAGGATTGCAAGTTTGAATTCAGCCTAGGCGATTTAATGACTTAGCAAGAAGCCTTCTTGAAATAAAATTTTTTTAAAGGTTGAGCATGTAGCACAGCGCAACAATCTTGGGTTCAAACCTCAGTACAGAGGTGCGGAATAGCATGACAGCCTATGACAAGATCCCCTATGTCACTAAATAAGAGAACTGTAGACTAAAGCTATAAGTTTCAGTTTTTCACACACCAGATTAACATCGTTTAAAAATATAAATAGATCAAAGTTTTCCCTAGTTCAGAACCACTTCACTGCTGCCAGCAGTAAAGTCCAGATTGCTCCAGAGCCCCAGGCCTGCTCCCTGCCCCCTTCACCCCTCACCATTCACCTCTATCACCACCTCCAGCTCCCCTGGCTGTCTTAATTTTGCTCCAGCACTCTGTGGCATTATCCATCGGAAAAAACCCAGCCTCAGTACTTTTCTCCTTGGTTTCTCATAGGACTAGAACATTCTCATTCCTCAGGCAATCCTGTCTTGAGGTGGGGGTGGAGCTCCTTTCCTATCCTGGAAGCACCAAGGTAGAAGCTAGCGCAGAGTCCTTACATTTTTGGGAAACCCAATACAATTCATCATGCTATGGTGACTTAATTTTTTCTAAGCTGCCTGGCCAGTTGTCATACATCCAAGTTCTTGAAAGGTTCTTCTCTGCTGGTACAGGAACAAAAGGTGTCAGGCAGCACCTCCAGCTCAACAAGCTACTCCATGAAAAAAATCAAGAATCTGCTGGGGCATAGGTCGGGGTCATCAGAAGTCTCTCTTGGAGTCCTTTTTTTTTTTTTTAAGGCTTGCATAGTATGTACACTTCACTTGTGAACACTGTGTTCACATAATGAGCTCACATAAACTGTATATATCTGGTAAAAGAAAGATCAATCATAAAAATTTAAAATTCAGCAACACATTTTAAATAAAACATGGTCCCCACATAAGCTAAATGGCTTTTCTCCTGCTGCTCAGAAATAGAAATCTATCTGTTCTGAGGCCACAGGAAAGAGCGGTCTGGCTCAGAAAGGTTCATTCAAAATCAATTATTTTGTGCACCTTCAGGAGACTTCCAGGGCTGTATTAATTGCATGTGATTTTTGCTTCACAACTAGATACTCATTTAAAAGTATACACAGAAGGTGTAGGGTGGATATTCTTTCTGCAGTCTGAAAGGCTCTTAGTGCAGCTCAGGTAGCAGGAACAGAGTGATGCAGTGGTCAAGGAGAAGGAAGAAATGCAGCATGTGATGCAGGACACATTGGTGGGATTCAACAGCTAGGAGAAGACTCAGCGAGGGGAGCGTGAGTGAGGGTATGAGCCAGAAATCCCAGCAGATCCCTAGTATGGTCTCCTAGATTAACTCTGAGGCTTGAAGAGTTTTGATTTTCTTTCAGGCACCCTGTTTTTCAGACAATCAATTATGCCAGATGGGGCAAAGTTCATCTTGGGAGATAAATGAGGTTAGACATGAAGATTACTGTGATGTCATAATAGAAGATTCCCCTAGAGGGTCTCATTAGGCAGCCCTTCCTTCAGCCCTTGTCATGCTTTGCCCCAGACTGAGCCATGCTGGGTCACATGGAGGCCTGCTGTCCTGCAGAACAACTCACATGTACCTAGGGCAGCCCTCTGGGGACAGGGGCAGGTGCACAGTGACCAGGCTCACCAGGGCTGCACATGGCCTCACTGGCTCAGAGCTGTATCCCTTTCAAACGACCTTGAAGAGCATGCTGGGCTGGTTACCACCCAGAAAACTTCATCCCCTCCCCTGCTTTCTTTGCTGGCTGACAGCTGAGCTTCTGCCTTGGGGGCCCCTTTTACAAGTGGGAGGATTCCCATGGAAACCCCAGGAGGAGGAGAGCCTGGGGAAGCCTCATTGATTAAGTGCCAGGAAGATGGGCGTGAGACAGTTCCACCTGGAACTGGACAGATGGCTCTCTGTGAGTACTGGGGGAAGAAAGGGCTTGCCCAGCCAGTTGCAGTGTGAGCTCCCTGTGTGAATTATGGGGCAAGTGAACGGACATCTGCGAACAAAAGCTTGGGAGTTCTTTAATTCATTCTTTTTGCTGGGTTCATTCTGAATGAGTGTTTTAGTAAAATAGCCCCTATGTTTAATATTTGTGCCAAGACAATCTTAAAACCATTTCAGTGCCACGAGGGCCGGGCAGGTATCATTACCTCATTGCACAGAAAAGGAAAGGGAGGAATAAAGGCGTTAAGTGACCTGTCTGAGCTCGTGGAGCTCTGTGTTCCTGATACCTTCGAGGCTGAGACTTTCTAACGTCATGCGTTACTTTTGAGGATTTGTGCACACTACACTGCTTAGACATTTACCCATCATTTTCTCTCAATTAAGCCCTTGTGGATGCAGGGGACTCCAGTGAAGGAAACCCTGCCCCAGTCCTGGAGTTGTGCCCAGTCTGACCCCTGGGATGAGTGTTGTGGGCTTTGAGAGCAGAGGTGTGGGGCTCTGTAGAAGTGTGATACAGATGTGGGGAGGTGTGTATAGGGAGCAGGAGGGAAGGCGGCAGCATCAAGTTGGGAGCCCAGGGAGGTTAAGGGATGACAGAAGGGGTTTACAGAGGATGGGAGAACATCATAGAACATTCTGGAAGGATTAAGGATAGGGTTAGGAATAAACTTTCTCCTGAAAGCCACAATGAACCTGAGGAGCATTTGAAGCAAGGGGGGATGGTAAGATAGATTGGCTTCACACTTTTACAGGTGTGGGAGTAGATATTTGAAAGTCATGTGCAGCCCACTGAAAAAAATTCCTGTGAAATCCAACTGTCTTTCTTGTTGGGGTGTTTGTCATTATCCACGCCTGTCACTGGGTCTGACCCGTCTGAGGTGAGCTCCCCCTGGGGGGAAGTGATTGGGTCTTA